TCTGATACCACAGTCGCTAAACGTTATATAAAGTTGAGCATCATACGTTCAACGGTTGTTGTGAGTCTTGTGACACTTGAAAACAGTGCCGAAAGCAGGATTTTCACCGAGAGGATTCGAAAAATAAAAAAAGTAAATACGCGAAGAAGCTAAGGGGATTCAACATCTAATATATGTACATGGAAAAAAATATCAACCTTATATACACAGTATAATTTTCGGGCGAAGGGGGTTCGGCTAACCCTCTTCCACCCACCTAGCTGCGCCCTTTCTAGTAAAGATTTAAACAGTAAGTAGCTTAAACTTACCAAAGCCTCATGCCGTGGAGCCTAGTTGATGAATGTGCTATTTTTATGCTATGCTATCATAACTCTACATCTCTGCAACTGTCAATTTAATGCAATTTGTTTTACCATTGTGATGGCAGACTGTTGTTCTCAAGGTTGGCATGTCATGCCAAGGCTGTGTCGGGGCTGTAAAGAGGGTGTTGGGGAAAATGGAAGGTAAACAGTTATACTAGGATTATTCTTAGTGCTTTACAACATTTAACTTACTAGCCTCCTATGTATGATTGCCATGATAAGATCAGTTTTAAGATTATTCCTTAATACTATCAGAATATATTGCTCCCTTAGTTTCATTTTATATGAGCATGTTCCCAAGAAAATGATATCTTTCTATATTTAGAAACTCTTTTGACTTTAAACTTCCTATTCTACACTTGATGACATGCTCGTATGATCATTGAAATGTCATGACGTCATGGCACGTTTAAAACCATAAGTTCTAAGGGTATAGTATGTGTCAAGTCTTTATTTCTTTCTTGAACTTTGTCCCCTGTCAAACAGTCATATAAGATGAAACAAGGGATTGAGATTTTCTTCTGATTCTCTATTAACTGAATACATCATAGCATTACTTTTGTCATATGGACGCTTTCTATTGTGTATTCTCTCATGCACTGCTGCAAAGGCCAGAGTACACATGCTTGCTTGCTTCTTATTTTATGGGAAAAGTTATCTTGTCATATCTGCATATCTCTGAAAAAACATCAGCTCTGGTTGGTTCATCCATCTTTGCGTAAACTATGAAATTGTTGTTTATAGTCTATTCTATGAGTAGAACTGACCAAGAATGCTCCTCTATAGTCCTCGTCATCTTTCTTACTCAGTCAGTCACCCTACACCATATGCCAAATTTTCCTTCTTTTGACTGCTAACTCAATCACCGATCAGAATCTTCTCCATTTTGCTAAAGGGCTTTATCAAGAAGCCTGAGATTATTGGATAGCATTATGCACGACTAAAGAACGAGAGCTTAAGTCGCTTATTTGCTTATAGTCTCATAACAGATAAATATCAGTAAAATATCGACTCATGTTTTCTTTATTAACCATCTTCAGGTGTAGAAAACTTTGACATTGATCTGAAGGAGCAAAAAGTGACTGTAAAGGGCAATGTTCAACCAGAAGCTGTTCTCCAGACCGTCTCAAAGACTGGAAAACCAACATCTTTCTGGGAAGCAGGGGAACGGGCTCAAACAGAAGAAAAGCCTGCAGAAGCTGTTGGTACAGCTTGATGGTGTCTAATGGCCTGGAATTGTATGTTAAGGCTTGAGCTTTATACGACTTTATCAAGATTTCCTGTGTGTAATATGAGGCTTTAACAGTTTTAATCTAAAATTGCAATAAGCTCTTGAGCATTTGGTGTTGTTTTCTTTGATATAGATAGCAAGTGCATGTTAAACATCTGAGAAAACCAAATGTAGGTGTTTGTAAGAGAAATCGAAGGATAAACAGGGTGATCTTATCGATGACTGTAATTGGGTGTTTGAATCTGTTAAGCAATTTGAGAAAACAAATTTGTCAGGAATTTAATGCAAGTACCTTAAACAAATGCTTCCTTTAGGTATATGTGATGGAACCTCCTGCATTGGTTTAACGATTGGATTCCTTGCTTAGTTTTCTCTTTCTCTGTTGAGGGAAGATGTTCCAAGGTTTCATTCTTGATTGAAACACACATAACCAAATTCACATGATCATACAACAATAATTATACGCTTCAATCTCTAGCAAGTCGTAATAGATTGTTCGAAAACTCACTTCTATATCGAGGGTATTCATCATAAATTTACTAGTTTTATGCTAATTTATGCTGACAATGTGAAGCTAGCTCCCAAGGGCAGAATTAAATCATTCTCATTATCGTATCTCTGATAAATTATCCAAGTCTCATATCATAGCAAATGATTCTGATTACAGTGTAATTACCAGATGACCAGCATTTATATGTCATAGAAATGGAGCTGTTGTAGGGACAGCCAAGTCCAAGAAATTTTCAACATTACAGTTGCTAGTATCGACAATCATGTTCTATTTTAAGCTACTAAACGATTTCAACCAATTTGAAAATTTGTCATCTCTTAAACTATATATTGTAAGTTTGATTCCAATTGTGCACCATTCACATGCACTTTATATTCTTGTATTCTACATGTTATTGGGTCTAGGTAACCTTTCATATAGCCATTATACCTGTAGAAAACTACTCATTTCAATGGTCAAGGTTGTATATGATTTTCATTTTTTTAAAACTGTGGTGTCCGGACCAACTTGCACACACTTTGGCTATTCCATTATATGTCACTAGCAGAATCGCGTAACTGGGAGCACTAAGGCTTAGACAAATGAGAAGAAATCACCTAGCATTTTTTGACTATGCTGGAATCTGAACTCTGTTCTCCCACGTATTTTAACCAATTTCATTGACTGATACGCCATACCTTTGTATGGTTTCATTGTTGTAAATCCGTGGAAGCATCACATATTTTGGGTGACCAATTTCAAACTAACAGCGAAAAATACAGCTCAACACATATCAAAACAAGTCTTGGCATATTTAACCGTCTCTGACACAACTCACAAGCATTTTTTAAGTAGCAGAGAGCAGGTGGAACATTGCTACTTGTTATATAATAGGGAATTCAGTTAGTGGTATAAGTTATCAGGAAATATTTAATCAGATAAAAAAAAGTCAAGACTTCTTACAACTTATAATAAGGAGTTGACATTCAATATCTGTACCAGAAAGAGAACATAGTGGCTACCAACTAACTAATCAAATAAACAAGCAAATTTGACCTTCAAATGGAATTTTTTTATACATCAAGAAACTTATGTAAATTTTTGGTTCTCACAATTTGCCTATAGATTTTGCATAGTGACTCAAGTTATCCAGAACCAGGAATCTCCTGCTTTTCTGCCAACAGCTATTTTTACCTCATTAACATTTGATAATTAGTTAAAAGTTAATCAATTTCCGTTCAGGTAAACCACAGTAAATCAATTCAGATTCTTGGTTATTGATCATCTCAGCTTCGCTAAAAGCACTATTATACGGTCATTCGCTGAAGGAAAAGGACTGTCAACTTAAACTTTTCATGGATATAATAAAGTGGTAGCTGTTGAACTCTTCAAAGTTGATAGAAACTTAAGAAAACTTCAACCTTTGCAGTTAGTATTACAGGCAATCATGTTCTGTTTTAATATTGACATAAGATTTCTTCATTATGTGCTGGAAATAGCTACAAGGCATATTGCAAACTATAAAAGCTCCATAGTATACATAATATTATACATAACCTGAGGAGAGAAACTAGAGAAAAAAGCCAAAGTAGCTAGCTGCTCTTGAGCCACAAAGAATGGATTCAAAGGGCTACAATTGTTCAGTTATTGCACTAGTTTCTTGCCTGGTTTTATCCCTTTCAGTCTCTTCCTTGGCAAAAAAACAACCACACTGTCCACTTAAAGTAGGTTTCTATCAACATACTTGTCCCTCTGCTGAATCCATTGTGAGAAATGTTGTGTACAAAGCCGTTTCGCGTAATCCAGGCATAGCTGCTGGCCTTATCAGGCTACATTTTCATGACTGCTTTGTGAGGGTATGTTATGTCCTTCTGTCTAACATGATAGTGTTCTATTAATAATTTCATTATTTCCTTAATTTTTCCTGCATGTTAAACTGTGTGACCATTCCATGTAAACTCATAAGCTGTTAAAGAGAGCACAATGTTACTTACCTAATTATATTATGTCTCAACACACCCCTCATGTGTGAGCCTGGTTAGCTTTCATGGACTAAATATGCGGAAATTTTTGATTTTTTGGTGGCGGTGAGATTTGAACTCACGATCTCGACTTTCTCTGTTACCATGTTGAATTGTGTGATCGTCTCATTAAGCTTTTAAATGAGGTTGTCACATAGTTCAACAAGTGCTACGCTTGATAATTTCATCATCAACTTAATATTGTTTTCTGCATTTTATGTACTTTAGGGATGTGATGCATCTGTGCTATTGGATGGACCAAATTCAGAAAAGGAAAGTGTAGCGAACAAAAACAGCTTACGAGGTTTTGAGGTGATTGATGCAGCTAAAGCTAAGCTTGAGGCTGCATGCCCGGGAACTGTCTCGTGTGCAGACATTCTCGCCTTTGCTGCTCGTGACAGTTCTTACAAAGTTGGGAAAATAAACTATGCTGTCCAAGCAGGACGTCGTGATGGGCGTGTTTCTATCAAGGACGAGGCCTTAGCCAATCTTCCCTCTCCATTTGTTGGTGTCAAGGAACTGATCAAGAATTTTGCAAGAAAAGGGATGTCGGTTGATGAAATGGTGACCCTCTCTGGTGCACATTCTATTGGTATTGCTCATTGTGCTATTTTTGCAAGTCGACTATACCCTCAAAACAAGCAACAAAATCTGCCAATTGATCCTGAATATGCAAAAATGTTAAAGTCCATTTGCCCACCAGAAGCACTTACAAATGGAACAGGAGTCGCTAACCCTGCTAATCTTGATGTTCTAACACCAAACAAATTGGATAATAGATACTACATGGATTTGAAGAGTAAGAAGGGGCTATTAGTTTCTGATCAAACATTGATGAGTAATCCTAAAACTGCGAAAATGGTGAACTTCAACGCGAGATATGGCCGCGTGTGGGGTAAGAAATTTGCAGATGCAATGGTGCATATGGGTACCTTGGATGTTCTCACAGGGTGGAAGGGTGAAATCAGGAAGAACTGCCATTTTGTTAACTAATTTGTCATTGTGAGATCAGGAAGAATTGCCATGTTGTTATTATTTTTGTTCTTTTTTATTTATAACGGCGCTGTTCGGGTCAGCTTATGTTCATCTTGGCTATATCAGTGGCTTCTGCTATCTTCCACCGGCACAAGCACCAGGTAATATGGCAGGAAGAACTGCTATATTATGTTGTGAACTAATTTGTCATTCTTTTGTCTTATGAGTTTTGTAAAGGTTTCAAGTACTATTTCAGTCTTCTTTTTATGGTTTTTGTGAGTTGTAAACATCCTACTGATACTGAAGTAAGGATCGATGGTTCAATCTTTGTTGAATTATTACAGATGAATCTTCTTAATAAACTTATTCCTGATTGAAAGTCTCCAAAAGAAAGAGTTATTACTTCTTTTCATACTTTGAATTACTTCAGTTTAAACTAGTGTCATACACTGCAAAAAAATTGGCAAGTACGAAAGTTATTGAAACAGGATTTATGGCGAAAAATAAAGTATAGATAAAGTTAGATCTCTTTGGGCTAAACCAGCCCAAAAATACTCTTAATATGATATGATATTTTCCGTTTTAGGCCAAGCCCGAAAACCTTATATGTATGCTCCCAAACTTTTCAACTACCAATGTGAGACTTTGTTCGCACCCCCAACAATCTCCCCTCGAACTAAGTTCCATGTGGCCCACTACCACGATTGTTAGAGTATTATAGCAACTAAAGTACGCAACGATATGGCAACTGAAGTACGCAACAAGCCTTTTCTTGTGTGCGCACCGCCCGCACCAATGATACTCTTAATATAATGTGATATTGTCCGCTTTGGGCTAAGCCCGCCAAGGTTTTCCTCAAAGGCCTCACACCATCAAGAGATCCCTACACCTTATATGTAGGCTTTCGATCTTTTCACTATCACTGTGGGACTTTGTTCGCACACTTAACACTACAAAATAAACTGGAATTGGCTACGAACATCGTCGCTAATCTGTCGCTAAAACGCTCCTAGCTAGCAGAATTTCTTGATAATCCATTGATAATCCATCGCTAAATGAGATTAGCGACGAATTTTTCTGTTTAGCTATAGAATTTTTAGTAGTGTAACACAACTCAAACTAAATTCTAGATTCGCTACTTATGGCATTATTATCCAATCCAGATGCAAAGTGGTGAACTCAAATCACTTAGACGATGGCCTGTTTGCTTTTTTTAAGTTCTAAAATTGGTGTATTTACCTAAATTTATAAGAACAGCTTCCAAGTTTTTATTTTTATATTAATTAAAGCCCATCACCCAGGTTGTCACCTCCTGTGGTGTTGGGGGGTTTGGCTAGACCCTACCATGTCTATTCCTACAAAACAATAGTGTAAGTACAAAGGAGGCGGACATGGACCTGATATCGAGAAGTAATACAAGATTAACCTAAGCCAATCTTCAAATACATGAGCGGTTAACTACTATACATATACCTCTCATTTTCTACAGTAAATGGTTCAACTTATTAAAAAAATTAGCTTTGTCATATCTAGTTCTAAAACTAGGAAGTTGCCACTTATCTAGTTGAAAAGGCCCTTTTACATTTCCTGGTAGTTGTTGGAAAGAGTAGAAGAAGACAGTGATTCCACTAGTCGTAGCGTTTTTGGCCAACATATCAACCACTTGATTAGCTTCTCTGTAACAATGCGAAATATTACTTATGCTTGGCTCATCATATCGGCAATCTCTTCAATGAGTCTCTTCATTTTGAGATTGTTGGTGCTTCTATCTAAGAGCATATTG